ATTTCTCATTAATGTACACTCAGCACCCCATCTTGACAGAAAAAAACAGAAATGTAGAAATTTTTGCAAATTTATTAAAAAAGAGAAACTGAAATATCACATGGTCATAAGTATTCAGACCCTTTGCTGTGACACTCATATTTAACTCACATGCTGTCCATTTCTTCTGATCCTCTTTGAGATGGTTCTACTCCTTCATTGGAGTCCAGCTGTGTTTAAATAAACTGATTGGACTTGATTAGGAAAGGCACACACCTGTCTATAGAAGACCTTACAGCTCACAGTGCATGTCAGAGCAAATGAGAATCATGAGGTCGAAGGAACTGCCCAAGGAGCTCAGAGACAGAATTGTGGCAAGGCACAGATCTGGCCAAGGTTACAAAAGAATTTCTGCAGCACTCAAGGTTCCTAAGAGCACAGTGGCCTCCATAATCCTTAAATGGAAGAAGTTTGGGACGACCAGAACTCTTCCTAGACCTGGCCGTCCAGCCAAACTGAGCAATCGTGGAAGAAGAGCCTTGGTGAGAGAGATAAAGAAGAACCCAAAGATCACTGTGGCTGAGCTCCAGAGATGCAGTAGGGAGATGGGAGAAAGTTCCACAAAGTCAACTATCACTGCAGCCCTCCACCAGTCGGGGCTTTATGGCAGAGTGGCCCGACGGAAGCCTCTCCTCAGTGCAAGACATATGAAAGCCCGCACAGCCCGCACAGACTATGAGAAATAAGATGCTCTGGTCTGATGAGACCAAGATTGAACGTTTTGGCGTTAATTCTAAGCGGTATGTGTGGAGAAAACCAGGCACTGCTCATCACCTGCCCAATACAATCCCAACAGTGAAACATGGTGGTGGCAGCATCATGCTATGGGGGTGTTTTTCAGCTGCAGGGACAGGACGACTGGTTGCAATTGAAGGAAAGATGAATGTGGCCAAGTACAGAGATATCCTGGAAGAAAACCTCTTCCAGAGTGCTCTGGACCTCAGACTGGGCCGAAGGTTCACCTTCCAACAAGACAATGACCCTAAGCACACAGCTAAAATAACAAAGGAGTGGCTTCGGAACAACTCTGTGACCATTCTTGACTGGCCCAGCCAGAGCCCTGACCTAAACCCAATTGAGCATCTCTGGAGAGACCTGAAAATGGCTGTCCACCAACGTTCACCATCCAACCTGACGGAACAGGAGAGGATCTGCAAGGAAGAATGGCAGAGGATCCCCAAATCCAGGTGTGAAAAGGTTGTTGCATCATTCCCAAGAAGACTCATGGCTGTACTAGCTCAAAAGGGTGCTTCTACTCAATACTGAACAAAGGGTCTGAATACTTATGACCATGTGATATTTCAGTTTTTCTTTTTTAATAAATTTGCAAAAATTTCTACATTTCTGTTTTTTTTCTGTCAAGATGGGGTGCCGAGTGTACATTAATGAGAAATAAAATGAACTTTTTTGATTTTAGCAAATGGCTGCAATGAAGCAAAGAGTTAAAAATTTAAAGGGGTCTGAATACTTTCCGTACCCACTGTATATATATATATATATATATATAAAACCTTGGATCAATACTACGTATATAAATGATTGTATTCCCCTCACTTCTCTTGATCCTTTCCCACATATCCTCTACACAACATCCGTGCTCTGCTGAGAGGGATGGCTCTTTGTTATAGCAGACTACTCTTTGAAGATCACCCTCTTCAAATTGTGCGGAAATAATACTCCATTAAGCAAAGCAAATTAGTCTTCGGTTTAATTACGAGCTCCGTTCCCGCAGTGCGGAGTGCGTACGATATTAGCTTTATAATGATTTCTTGAACAAATAATTTAAAAACCAATTCACCAGGGACCGGTGGAAGCCAATAAATTGCTGTAAAAAGGGACAGTAGAAGAATTTGAATGCTTAATTTGGTAAATAGGAAGCAGGAGAGAGGCCACTTTGGCGTGAATGCAGTTAATTTATCTCGATTAGAAAGGCGCGTGCGCACGCACACACACACGCACACACACACACAGCCCCAAACAGGTTGAAAGAAGCTAAGAGAAAAAAATATGAATGAAAAAGCAACAAGGAGAGCGACATGCGTTTACTAAAGGTTCCGATTATTTGACGCGTGGTTTCATTTATAGAGCTGGGAACAGAGACCAAGAGCATTTGGGCTTAAGCCCAATGGGGATCTATGTCTGGCTTTGGGATAGGGAGCTTTGTTACGGCCTCACCTGGCTGATTAAGTTGAGCAGAGGTTTGCCTTCTGAACCAACCAGGCAGGTCAGGAGCTGCGGTATCCAGGCCAACCACTGGATGGGCGGGACTCCAATGCAGTACTTGTCCACAGCATCCGCCAGAGTGTTCTTGTCATCGAAGCTAAGCAGCCACAACACCTGCAGAGGAAAGGAGAACGGAAGGAGGGGAGGAGGAGGGGAGGAAGGTGATTAATGCAAAGGAAAGGATATAAATAAAGTTTATTATCAAGGTGAAAAAAACAGAAATAATACAATAACAAAAGAATAAAATACAAACAACAGAGGGAGCATAACACATACAAACCGTGGTTCTGAATGATTGAACACAACAGGAGGCAGGTGGACAGACGGGTAAGAAAAGTAGCAAGAAACAAATCCAACACTCAAGGCAGTCAGAATAAAATGTCCCATCAAGAATCTATATTCAGAGACCTAGTAGTAAGAGGTAAGGTCTCTCTCCATTAATCAGACCCTTGCTGCCTCCCCGGCTCTGTTCACAGCAGGAGAGGGGCTGCAGAGAGAGGAACCAGTACGTCTCGCCAATCGTTTCCATGATCAAAGCTGAGCCACTGTGGAGGCGATCTCTCTTCCCCAGGTGTGCATGTGTGTGCATCTACATGACGATGAAGACATCAACCCCACTCAACCCCCCCCCCCTCCAGGCTCTCCTCGGCGAGCCACCTTCGGGTACACAGATTGTGTATCATTGGTGATAATGACCGGTCATCCAACTTCACCCATCAGGGCTGAGCGCTGCCAACCAGGCTTGGCAGCACAATACCAGGGGCTGGGTGGGTGTGTGTGTGTGTGTGTGTGTGTGTGTGTGTGTGTGTGTGTGGGGGGGTCACGAGAAACACATCTAATTGGAATGTGCAGCCGTCGTTAGAGCAGATCATGCCGGTAATGCCTAATGATAACACCGGACGTGGCTAGACCGTGTTTATTATGTATCCAGCCTGACACATGGAGGTGAGCTGGTCTTCTGCTCTCAGGATGAATCTCTCTAATCAGACTCTCACGTGGCTCTTTGAAGGCAGTTTTATTTTTTACCTCCAGCTCATTAATAAACAATGGAGAGAAAAAAAAAGATCCAGTTTGTTGAAGTGTTTTGATGTCACAGACCGTTTTAAGTTCATTTTCTTGCATTTTGTGCCGCGATCATTTGATCCGACATTGAGAACCACCTCATCAGAGCACAGCAGGTCTCAGTGCTTTACCTCAAATAAGAGGTCTTTCTTTGCTAACCTCTGGAAGGACTGGAGCGGCTGCACTGAACGAGTTGGTCTGTGTAAGAAGGTGGGACGCTTGTTAGCAAGGAGTCCGCCCCTTTAACTCCCACACGAGGCTTACTCAGCTGTTAAATATGGTAACATTGGTCTGACTGCTGTAGAAAGGTCAGTCCGTGTAGAGGGTCATGAGATTGGAGTATCAGGGGAGGCCATTAGTCTGTTAAACCCCCACGCACCAGAGGATGGCCTTTACTCCACCAGTGTGGGAATCCATCCATACTGTCCATCGCTGGACTGTAATCACTGAAATTACTACTCGCTGCTTGTACCTGTGGCAGAGTCTGAGGGGGGCAACAATAGTCTCGGGGCTGGATTGGGTCAGGAATCTATGGAATTAAAAGTGACACTATCTAACAAAGGGAGTGAGGCTCCCGGTCAAAACGCTCCCTTCTCACCTTCGCCAGGTATTTACGGGACTTGCTCTCGTTTTGGTGGCGGCAGGCGTGGAGGTAGCAGGTGATGGCGGAGACTCCCAAGTGGAGCTGGCGGTCCTTGACGAAGATGTTCTCCAGGTAGTCGCCCCACATGGCCCAGGCCTTCACCAGGACATCGTGCATCTGCACAGCAGCTGAAAAGGCCTTGTTTGCCTCCTCTGACCTGGAACAAAATGACGGAGGGAAGGTGAAAAGCGTTCGCGCGATGGAGGGGCAAGTGAGCAAAGGGCGCTAGGTGGCGGTGGAGGGGAGAGAAAGTAGGATTGGGTTAAAGGGAAGTCAGAAAATAAATAAATAATAGATACAAAGTAGAGAGGGACTCTGAAGAGAGGGGGTTGAAAGAGACGGATGAAGAGCAGAGTTGAAGGAAGCGAAAGAAAAAGGAGAAAGATGGAGTGAGCGAGAAACAGATTATGATGATCACATTCTGAATTATGTACCACACATCAATAAGCACCATATTTCACTCGCTGTAATCTTCAAGGCCTTTCCCATCAGCATTACAGAGTAAGTATTTAACCCCGCATGAATTAATGTCACCGAGGGTTTAGGCACTTTGTTAAATTGTACGTCATCACACTGTGCAGATCAATCCATGTAATACTGGGTGACATATGAGCAGAACATCTTCATATGTTATCAGAAATGACAGAGAGTGGCAGCAAGGTAAAATAAAAACCTCAGTGTAATGGCTGTATATTTATCTGTATACCAACCATCGACTGTGAAGAGCATTGCTACGTCTTAGAGAAATCTGCAAAGCTGAAAAGGTTGGATTTTTTTTTTATTATCCTGGTACAGCTCACTTGAGTATTCAAATCAGAAACTGTTAAACAGCAGGCAGAGAAATAGACAAGGGGGAGGAGACCCGAGGCTTCGACGGCACCATTTATGCTGACGGGGAAACATATTCTAGAATCAGCCGTTCTCAGCGCGCCAAGTGGCTTCGAACCTCGCGTTGGCACGCAGTCTGAATAATTGCCACGCACGATTGATTAATAAATAAGATGCAAGAGGCACCCTGAGACGCAGCACCCTGCAGTCAGAACAAGGAGACAGACATGAAAAAAAACTTACTGAGCCACAGTTGGGAAATGAACCTCCAAAGCTACTCTCCCGCTTACTTACATTGACGTGAGTCTCCCAAGCCAATCAATTAAAATGTGTTATTATAAAAAGGCATTTTGGCATGCGATTAAGAAATGGGAGCTTGATTGCTCTGGGAGTCGGAGCCGAAGACCCTCCAGTAATACTTAATGGGGTTGCCTCAGTCGGCGCCGGTGTAAAAGTACATCAACAGTTTCTACTACCCGGCTCAACAGGAGCACTGGCACCCAACAGACTGTCAAATCACTGACACCCGTTTAATTGAATGATCCCAAAATCCTTAGCACACACACACACACACACACACACACACACACACACACACACACACAAACAACCCCCACTCTGCTGTTAATTCCCCCCCGCCCCCCGTGTAGGGGAAACATAATGATTGCAATAAACCCTGCTGAGGTGGAGGCAAGTTCTGCTGATCCCAGAGATTCCTGCAAATTGCCTCCAGTTAATTATTGCGCTGGATATACATTTAATAAGCCTTCCTCAATTTTGTCTTTCGCCCCCAAGGACGCCATGTCACGTCAAAGATGACGGGTGAAAAAGGGGGGGTGCCGAAGGGGAGAGGGTGTTAAAGACTGTGGGTATGCACGACCCGGCAAAGCGTCGGAGAGAACGGTCGTACGCTACACAGGTAACCCCTGCAGCCAAAACACACACACCACTGACACTGTCACAAACTGGGGACATAGATGCACATTCACATCTAAGACACCTCAACAGGGTTACCTAGTAACGTAATCTCACATGTACGTGAGCTTGAGGCGAGAGAGGTGCAGATTAAATACGACTTCCACGTCCCGACAGGATAAAACACCCACGTAGGGTTAAGGCACCACTGACACACATTGAGGACAACGTGTTAATGAACAAAGGGAAGACGATGACAGACGGAATGGTAGCTTCAGATTGTGAAAACCAAAAAAGGTAAAAAGGAATCTAAAGTTGGTTAAAATGTGACAATGCGTCAGTGACAAGTGGAGCACCGAAGGACGTACTTGTTGATTTGAGCCAGGAACATCCCCTTCAGAGCGTAGAACTCTGCCGTCATCTCCTTGGTGAAGTACTTCAGGTTGGTCGACTCGATCACCTCCAAACCCTAACAGACGAGGAAGAGGACAACAGAGTTTTCATTTCAAACCAAACATCCCGTTTTAGAAACTTTTCGTCGTCGCGCAAGAGAGGAATCGCGGAGAGCGAGAGAGAAAAAAAGGACAGGGCCATAATCACAGGTGAAAAACAAACAAACTGCTCGGTGTTCATTAAGAAGTACGAAAAAAAAAAAGACTGTGTTAAGGGAACTAAACTTCCATTATGGTGAGCCTCTGATTAGGTGTCCCCTATCTACTGCTGTGACAAACGATGTGTGGCGGGAGCGAGAGACAGAGGGAACCAGAGGAGATGAGATAGAAGTGAGAGAGAAGAGTGTCTACTGGCACTTTTAATGACTTGTGGTGTGCTGAACTGCTTCTATTAATCAGAGTACTCCATGGGCTTAAGAGCAAGGTCCTGAGTTACACTCTGTTATAAGTCTCCGTGCTATAACTTGTCACCTCGAGCCACCCCGAGCACTTGCTCTTAATACTCCCCCCCCCACCCCACTCAAAGTGCCGCTAACTACACCTCCAGCTACTACGAACGGAAATCAACCCAAAGTACTTAAATCACACTAAATGCATCACACGTGTTGTTCTCCAGTAGGGGGCTGGCCTATTTCAAATTGGAGCGTGCATTACCACGGTCCAAATGCCTTGCAGCTGTGCTGCATTATGGTGCAGGTGCCACATGGGTGCGATGTATTTATCATGTTTTGATCACACGTAATTAGACTGTACAGACTACATGATGTCTGTCCTTTCTGGAGAGTGATTTTGCTAATAAAACATTTCATGAGTTACTTACACACTAATATAACCAAGAGTGATTTTGAACGTGACAAACACGTTCAAAACACTAATTATGGGCACAGTTCTACCAAACAATCTTGGGGCTTGAATGCATTGAGATGACAACAAATACTTGTAACTACTGTTTGTGGTGGAAAAAATATATATATCTGGATCAGTAACATCCCAGAATTAGGGGCATCTTACCTGCATGCACTCATTCTTGCCCATGACGCCAGCCAGCTGCAGATAACATTTGACCTGCTGCCTGATCTTCTGGAAGCAGTCGACGATGGGCACGGTGGGGATGGTGTGGATCCGACTCAGAATGTCCAGAGCCACGTTCACCAAACCCTGGAGAGACGGTGGAGATACGGTTTCACAAACAAGAAAAAAGATGGAAGGGATCGGAGAAAAACAAATGGACTTAATATTGCTTATTGATTGACACGTATTTTGAATTCACGTGACTAAAAAGGCTCAAAGCAGTACCTGTTTGCGTCCTATCTTGCCGTACTGAATGATGGCAGAAGCCGAGGCATGAACTCCCAACATGGCGTTGTTGTTGTTTGGATCATGCTGCGTGTTCGCCTCATATGCCGTCACTATGGCTGTGGACAAAGACAGAACAACAATGAATTTTGTCTTTCTACCAAACTTTTTTGTTTTTATACAAAAGTGTCATATTTGAAGAAGTAAGCAAAAAAAAAAGAGCAGCGCTCGGGGCAATATGAACAGTGGGGATCTTCTAGCGCTCTGAAGGCTCTGCAGAGGAGGGCACCGGGGACACTAAATGTATTGAACGGTAAATGAGCCGTGGCGATGAATTTCATCAAGAAAATTCCATTTCACTTTAACATAGGTTTGAAGGCTGTCAGGTATAAATGAAGTGGATTTTATTGGCATGGTGCTGCAGAGCCATAGCCATCATTATTCCAGCACCTCACACTGCGAGTTGGAGCTCAAGTTGCTTGAGATGTCACATTTTGCAGTGGCTGCCTCTCTGAATGGTTTTAAAGTCACTGCAGGTGAGAGCACTGAGCGAGGCGTGTGTGTGCGTGTGTGCGTGTGTGTGTGTGTGTGTGTGTGTGTGTGTGTGTGTGCTGCAGCGAGAGTGCTTTAGCGAGCCGACATTTGGAAATGTACAGAGACCCTGGGGGGGGGGGTTCTGCAACGCGTGTCCTTTTAAAAGAAGACCCCTTACTGGAGGTAACAAAAACCTGAGCAGCAATCTGAGAGTGTGCCTGCATGGCAGTGGACCCTGTAATACACATACAATGTGTAAAAAAGGACTGCGTGTGGACATTAATGTGTGTTTCAGTACCGGGTCCATTAGCGTGTGTCGTACCTTGGTAGTGGTGCTGGCGCCACATGAAGATGCTGCTCCAGTGGGACAGGTCGTCGGACACGATGGGCAGTCGGTTCCTCCAGGTTTTCACCACCGTCTTCATGTCGTGGAGGCTGGTGTTGCGGCCCAGGTTAGCGGTCTGAAGACCCGCATTAATCTGGGCCGCTTCCTGCAGCTCGATGATCTGCTGTGCCGCCTGGGGGGGGGGGGGATAAGAAGTGAAAATCTGCTCTCGAGCTTTTCTGTATATTTCATACAGTATCCTGACCACACTCACTTGACTCTTTTGACTTCCACTTTAAACTTTTATGACGCATGCAAGGTGGATGACCTGAGGAAGCAGCCAAATGGTGAATGCTTCTCATGCTTGCAAAGTTTACACTTAACATTTTGTGTTCAAAGACTTGGTCCAGACAGCTCCACCAGCTGCACTTAATCTTGTTAATATTTTGTCTACACAAATGTATGCTACACGCCAAATTACCTGCTTAGTTTGCACTGAATTACACACATTCGCTGTCAGTCGGTGGCTGGTCCTTTATTATATCTCATTACACCTCATGTCATTGTTTGTGTCCTGTCGATGTTGTGCTTGCTTAAGTTTGTTTGGACATGCATACTAAGTTAGCCATTAAAAATCTCTCTTCCCGTTTTTCTTGTTGTCTTCAGTGTGTGGAAGAAGAACTTCCCTAAAATATTGAAATGCATTCAATGAAAACATGGTTAGAAAGTGGATGTGGAGTGTTTGGTGATCAGATTTGATCTAAGAGGTGGAAAGATGGGGTGGGACACGTGGAGATCAAGAGACGATGGAACAGGAAGAAAAGTGATGGCAAGGAAGACGCATAATGCGAGACGGCTGCATTAATGGAAAAAATGACTTTAACAAGGTAAAAGTGTAGAGACAGAGAGTGAAAAAAAACATAAAAGATGAGGTGAAAGGTAGAGCCTGAAATGATCAGAGAGGGTATTGACAGATATGAAGACAGAAGACAAAGCCGGGGCTGTCCTCCTTAAGGCCACCGGCTTAAGACTCGTACTCAACCATCCCGGAGCCTGAAAGCCTCCACAAACGAGATGGATCAAAGGGACCCAACACATTTACCTCCACAGACAGCCATACTGCAAGATCTGTAACATAACCTTCTCATTGCCTCTTGTAACACATATTATTAAGCATCTTGTGAACACGTCATGCAAACATTTTGGCGTTAGAAATACAGCCCGGCAATATTTCTTTCGTGCCATCAAAATTATTTTGTGGGGGAAAAATCGTAACGTCTTCCTATATTACTTCAATGGCCAATCTGCTCCAATATGGCAAAGAAGAAAAGGGACGAGGAGATGTGAAAATGATAATGGAGGGCTTCTATCTCACTCCGTGGAAGAGAAAGCCCCATTGATCGCCCCAAAGCCGCTTTGTGAACACATGATCAATCATTCCATTATAATTACTCATCAATCAATATTAAAGCCAACCCTCATAATCGATAGTGTGGGTGATAATCCATTGATCGCCAGTCACTGCTGAGAGCTGGGATTTGATGATAACTTCATTGGAATGGTATTGTGAACCCCTTTCGGTATTTGCACAGTCTGGGCTTCTTATTCTCCGCTGCTCGCGGAGTCGTGAACGTGAGATATAGAGTTTGGAATGGAGATTTACAACAGGCGGCTTGGCTGGGCAGAGGAATAAATAGCTTGTTTTCCCTCGACTGGGGTAAATAATTGGACTGCACGTATGCGAGCACACGCACGACCACAACACACAAACACAATAACAAAGAGCGTAGTCACCCAATTCAAATACCCATTTTGAAAAGATAAATGTAGTGAATCAGAGCTTTACTGAAGACTTAACCCCCCCCCCACACACACACACACACACACACTCGCATCTCCCAAAACAAAATAAATTAGGCAATACAATATTTTTCACAATTATCTGTTAATATCAGCTGATGGCCCATTTCTAACCTTCATTCAGACTGTCCCATTCATCATGTAAATGTAATTCTACTGCAGGTATTTAATCAAACGGTATCTGATGGCAGGGAAGTAATTACAGCTATTCTAAACTAACTCTTCTTCTTCTTCTCTCCTTCTCTGTTCACTCTACCTTTTTCAATTTTCTCCCTTCTCATCTCTGCCCCTGTCTATTGTAATCTCTCATGGTGGAATCAAAGAGGCTTAAAAGTTTTTTGATATTTTTTCGTTTTTAATCATCCATCTCAATTCTACAAAATGGAGTGTGAGAGGAGATAGAGGCCGTTATCAGAGTCACTCAACAACATCTCAGGGCCACCGACACTCTCTTGACATGCATCTCTTCAAGCCCTTATCGCAATAAACCGACTTCCCTTCACTATTCATCCCCGGTTCCCGGGCTGCTGCGTCGGTCTGACGGGAGCCTTTCGACAGAAAACCTTCATGCATTGTGTACACTGACCTGCAGCAGCGGCGTGTGAACGTGGGAAACGATGTGAGGCAGCCTCCTCCACTCCCGGATGGCCAGGCTGGAGGCCATCTCCACCAGCCGCTCGATGAAGTTGAGCTGCTGCTCCTCCGGGTGGCAGATGGCCAGGTAGCCGCGGTGCATGTTCACCTTCCACGCCATCTCCTTAGGACAGCTCAGCTCCACCTGGAAGTGTCGCACAGAAGGTCAATTTACATGTCTCAACACACGTGTATAGGAGCAGAAGACGGCGGCTACAAAACTGAATGATCAAGAATAAATTCTGTTCTGAATAAGTTCTGAAAAGAGTTTTGCTAGTTTGCATTCATCTAAAGACCAGAAATGTTTTGTTTTATTAATCAGTCTTTTACTTATTCTACCATCTGCCGTCTCCAGAAAATCAATCTTTACTTGTGTTCGCACTGAAAAACAACTTCATCTTGCTATTTTATGTTGTGATAAATCCACAGGTTTTCCTAATAAATCCATCCCGTTAACACACAGGATAAATTCATGTTTAGGACTGTTTTTTTAATTATCTTAATTCGCTTTGTTTTTAAGTTCCTTAACTATTTCGTGGCATGACACATGAGCAGTACATTAAAAAATGTATACTTTCAGGAACAGCTGACTGAGTCACTAACAGACAGAAGCTGTTATTTGCAAATAAAAAAAAGATTAATTCAAGAATGACTGTGGATTTGGTGACATATTCTCTTGAAACAGATACAGTCGTGTATGTGGCGCGCTATTCTTGTGCTTGTTTGTCCGTATGATGTCAAGCAGAATAGAGCAAACCCTTCACAGCAGTTGGGACTGTGGCAGTTTTAATTAAATGAAAACACCCGAGGGGGAAAAGACCTATGACACTGTCCCTGCACAGTTTAGCACAGACGCACAATACTGTTTCCAGTTCATTTTGTAAATGGTTTCAGCACGACTTTTGTACTAATGACTAATCAACCTGGCGAGTCTGACACGGAGGCGGAGGAGATGAAAAGGCCCCGCTATTGATTAAATCGCTGAGTGCATTAACGCTAAACAAACAACAGCCCAGGGGAGCCCGCCACATCAAACCTGAGGTCTGCTGCTGTGTGTTTATAAGAGTGAAAAGAGCAAGAGAATGAGGAAGCATAGGTGTATATTTGTGTATGCTCTTCCGATGTCGGAGGAAATTACAGTGACCGTTTAGAGCACACTTATCGGGGGGGTTGACGCTTGATGAATATCCTGGAGACAGGGCCGCCCTCATCATGAGCCGGCTGTAATCGAAAGCGGGGGACATTTGGACTTCGCCTCTGAGCTGGCGAGCAGTGGGCAGGCCGGCGACTGAACGCCTTTCTCCTTCTCCTCCACCATAAAACAAATCGCCTCGCAGCAGATGCTGGGGGTAATTATTCACGCACGCAGCTGTCGTAAATATTAGCCGCTAAAACCAGAGCCGCAGAGCGAGGGATGAAGAGACGGAGCAGGAGGTAAGAGAGGGTAGCGATGACAGGAAGAAAAAAACAAATAAAGAAGAAGGAGAGGTGAGAGACAAAAAAAAAAAAAAAAGGGAAATGGGAACACAAAGGAAGGAAGGAAGGAAGGGAACACGGAGGAAGGGATATAGCGGCGTTGGTGCTGCCATCCAGACAATTTAATTAGGTGTCACCTTAGGACAGAGTGGCTCAATTGATTGGTTCCAAGTCTCCTTGGAAGAGCAAAGCAGGAGTATTTGTTATATGTCAGGTACTATCACGAGCTTGCCACCCGTCTACACTTTGTTTTAGGAAACACGAGGCCAATAAATTAACGGAGCAAAAAGCTGAACTGCATTACCACAGCTTTACAGCCGGCTCGCTCATTATCCCCGTGTGGACGGACCCAATATCAAGTAACTATACTTCACACGGACACGAGGCCTGCACTTAACGTACAGCACTGTACCTGAAAGCAGGGGTGAAATGAAAAAGTAGAGTCGAGGCTCTGGTTCACTGGGTTCAAGCCTACAGAGGCTCAACTGCGTCTGTGACTTCTATTTTCTACTGTTTTTGTCCTGTGTGCAGATGTGTTTACACGTGTATAAATACATGTAGTAATGTGTTTTTACGTTGGGACTGCACACTGCTCACCTGTACCAGAGCCTCCTTCATGGCAGCCCAGTTGGAAACCCTCCAAGCACACTCGAGCATGAGGTAAGGGTTCGAGTGGCCTTTGGATTGGCCATATTCTGTCAAAGGTTCCCACTGGTTCAATTCCTTAGAACAGCTGGACAAGAAGACGAGGGAGGTGAAAGGTTTAGGCAACTTTAAACAGTGTATGCTTATAAATGTGAAACAGCTGTGCTAAACAATAAATTGAATTCCTTTCTATTAGTACAGTGGGTCATTTGGAGCCGTCACTGTGGGAGGTTTGCCTGGTTAAAAAAAAATGTATTTGGGCTTTTTAAAATACCGTCTGGGTTTTTCACATTTGCATAGGCCATATATGTGTGACTTCTTTAATGCTAGAAATGGTAAAATACACCAAATATTAGAGGTAAAATACATTTAATTTTACCATTTCAAAATAATAATAATAATAATGAGGTTTTAACAGGCAGGGAAACGACTGGTTCAGCAGGGAGGCATGGTGGTCGTCCTAGACTTTGGTAAGTTGTTATTAAAAAGCAATTTAATTCAGATACATCACAACTAAAGTTGACTTGAAAAATCGCTGCTGACAGATGCATATTTTCCCAATAACCGCACCTATGCCACACCCATATATGAGCAAAAATTATATTTAGGCCTGCAAAGAAAGCAATGACAAGAAAAATATACATTTCATACAGAAATCCTATTTGTTGATTATATTACGGCTTCTGGGTGCCCTGCCGTATAATTTGTGTCATGAATGAAATACACGTTATCTGGTTTGAACAATCAATGGTGCACAGTATATATATGAAGGTATTAAAGTAACAATTCACACTGGTTTTGTGCTGCGCTGGCTCTCTCGATGTGTAACACGAGACTGCCCTCTGGGATCCAGAAACCTTACCGTATCCAGTGGTCTTCCCAGAGCTGGTACTCTGGGAAGATGGCCGGGGAGACGTTGCTCCTCTCATGCTCTTTCCTGGCCTTCTCCATCGCTTTCTCGTAGCTTTCTTGGGCCTGAACAGACACGTGACAGATGTTAATAAAAAGCTTTTTGAGGCTAATAGAATGATTATCAGTACAACCTGCCCGCCTCGATGCAACCTTTTCTTTTATATCCTCGTTGATATAAATGGATATATAAGATTAGAAACACCTCTCAGTGAAATGCAATATAATTTAACGGCACCACAAATTACAGCCCATAAAGTTAAATAACACCTTCATGGTGGTAGGATTTATTTGCAGGACGGTGAACCCAATAAACTGGCAACAGAGTCTCGTAAGTAGGACCATGCATTCATTTGAAAGTGCCCGCTGGTTTCCTTTCAGGACAACGCTCACCTGTTCAAAGAAACCATGCTGCTCGTAGGCGATGGCCGTGGCGGTCTCAGGAAACTTGCACCTCTTCTGCCACAGGCCGGCCCACATGTCCTCCTCTTGGAGCAGAGAGTAGAGCTCTGCTAGAGAGTCCAAAATCTCCTGTAGAGAGGTAGAGCAAAATGTAGACGGCAGCAGAACAAATTGAAACGTTTGCAGCGATCGCACTATGTATGAACGAGAGCAGCTTTGGCTGAGACGCACAAAAAATACACGACGCACATGACAAATATATTTTCAGATCCTCCACAGTGGAAGAGAAGGATTAATAAAAAAAGAAAAAAAAGAAGAAGAAAAAAAAAAAATTATGATCTATTTTGTTTTTTGAGAATTTCTTTTCCTGACAAATAAAAGTCATGGAGGAAACACTTCACTGTACCAATATTGTAAATTGCCAAGTTAATAAATAATATCCAAAATAAAAAAAAAAAATCTTTAAACTTTGATAGTGCCAGCTCAAAGTGTATATATATATATATGTATATGTATATATACCTGTTGAGGTGGTGTGATGCTCTCCTGCTCGTAGAACTCGGTGCTCTGCTTGGGTTTGTTGTGCAGGCTGAGGCCCTTTTCAAAGGCCTGCTGCTCCAGCATTAAAGTGGAGCGCAGCCAGAGGTTGTGCGTCTTGCCCAAGTACTTCAGCACACACGGGCGGATGGGAATGGGAGGCACACACTGGGACATGGCCTCGACGAAGCAGTTGAGGGCGCTGGGCTGACAGTCCCTCTGGGCCTGGTGGCTGCCGCTGCACAGGAAAGGACTCATTTCTCCTGACAGAGCCTGCAAAGCAGAGGAGGGAGAGAGAGACAGCTCATCAACTACACACAGTTTCACTTAAGCAGCCGTGCACTGATATAGCGTATTGATAAAGGTATTCTGTTGCATGTATGGGATGCAACATGATGCCTTTTTTCCAGTAACAGAGAGGTGTTAAAAAAAAAAAAAAAAAAAAAGAGGTAACAAAAAACAAGTACGGTGACTGGGAAGGGACACATCGTATGCAGCCTGTTTGTGTATTCAGAACAGAAAATGAAAGACTTCAGAACGTCTACTGTTATTTCAGGTAATAGCATTATTCGCTCGTTTAAAAGCTTCTCAGAGCAGCCACATTTGCACAAAATAGACTTTTGAGTGTGACCGCTGAGTTAGTGCTCTGATAATCATGACTGACACACACTCAGAAATAAATGATGTATTGGTAAAGAATAGAATTTCCAAATTTCCACTGCCCGTTGACAGCATGGAATAATTAATCCCTTGATGGTCCCTTTAATGAGGCTGGTGGTGGAGAAGGCCAGTATGTCATCAAATTCATTTCCTGAGGAGAATATGCTTTTCTATAATTCCCATGCAATCTCTCCCCCCCCCCCCCCCCCAAAGAAATAAAGCCCGAGCATCAGTGATCATTCAATTTCCACCATGAATTGATATGGTGTAATAGCGGTATGAAACGCAGGGCTGAGGTAGGCGTCAGAACAAACACGTGACATATCAGTGAATCATGCCTGTCACACAGGAAGAAAATAAACTTTGAAGCAATATCTCTACTGACTGCATCTTTCAGATGTTGAAGAGCTCAATCACTTCAAATCAGGGCCTTTCAACGAGTCTCAAAATACTCGACATGCATCTGGTTCGTTAAACTCATTACAGCGTTCTTCCCTCTGCTTTCTCGTTTCCATATTAGGCAGAAATGAATCAGTCCTCAATGAGCGGAATTGCATGTTTTGAGACAAACGGGACGACCGAGGTCAGAGTTACTGTCAGCTTGCGTCGTTGATGAGATACAGAAAAGCATATAGAGAGCGGATGAGTATGTATGCGTTTGGGCACAAGGAGAACAAATAGGCAATGTGCAAAAAATACTAGGAGATGGAGAGAAGACATACGTGTGCATCTGTCTTTGTGATTCAGAAAGAGACTGAATTGTCATTGTGTCATTTACAAAACAAGCGAATTGTTTAGATTTTAAAAAGCAGTGGGTCCACTTGGCTCACAGTATGCAATATTTTGGCAGTACGTAACAAGCTAAATTACATCAAATATTTCCCCACAAAGCTGGATGTTGATGCTAAAAACATCAGGTGCATAACAAAGACGCATGCATTTCTTTTTTCCTATTGTGATGACTTACATACTTACACATACTCGTTATAGTTATACTGAAATGTCCTAAAACTGAAGTTACTTAGCTACGTGCTTCTGTGCCCTGGATGCAAGTAGAGGCCAGGATGTTATACTCACATGCTGCTGCCTGTCAGAGAGGATCTTCCAGAGGCGAGGGAAGAGCTGAACCCAGGTCCTCTCAGCCAGCGGTGTGGAGATGTGACAGAGCTGGACCAGAGCGTTCAGAAGTGCCCCTGTCTAAACCAGAGCAGAGACAAAATAAAAATTAATGACAGCTGCTGACTCAGCAAGGCGGTGGTTCCCTGTCTTCGGGGCTCGAGAGCACTGCGGATTCGCTATCCTACTGGGTCGGTAATTGTATTCAACTGATGTTCTACGTTGAAAAACACGTCCCCCGTTTTACAGCTAGAATGAAAATCAGCAGGGTGCTGGATAATAAAAACCTTCTGCAAAATAAAGATGAGGGAAAATATTTGAAAATATGATTAAATGATATATCTCAAACACTGTGTTCTCTGCTAGAAGTGGCCCCTGGGTAATTAGGATAATACTGAAAGTTCCTCACGTCAACATTGCAGTTTTCTCAGCCCCTCAGTACACTGCTGGACAGAGTAGATGCCAGTCTTACCTTGACCTCCCGTAGTGAGTCGAGAAACTTGTCGTGGCGGTTTGTCAGCATGTGCAGCTGGTTGCCTGCGTCTCTCTCAGCCTGCTCCTTGGTCTTGGGGATGGCGGTCTGGTCACCTGGTGCTAATTCTATGTCTATCTCCACATCCTGCCACAGTCGAGAGGAAAACCATTGTCTTTTGGGAGAGCTTTGCAAACCAAGAAGCTTTAAGGACCACAGTATGTAACACACACATAATTGGATAGTGTGATAATTTATGTGTCTCTTGATGTATTGTGTGCGAGTGTTTCCCACCTCCTCCTTGGTCTCGCTGGTCTGACTCTCACGTGGCTCCTGCTTGACATGTGTCGCCATAGCGAAGGCAGCGCGGTCGTGGCTGTCAGCCAGGTTGATGACGTTAGTGATGGAGGGCAGCATGGATCCCTGGCAGCTGGTGCCGATGATGGTGTTTCGTTCACACACCGCCAACAGCAGCTAACACACACACAAAGAGCAGGTGCAAAAGGTCAGTGACAGTAAACGACATGATAACAAGAGGGTAGTTGAAATTAAACTACCTTTGAATGAAAAATGCATTATTTTTAATGTTGGATAAAAGGCTTTAAAAGACCAGATGCAGCGATGGGCTTACCTCTATGCACTGTTTGATCCAGAAGTGGCTGCCCATGGCCTCCCAGTTCTGAGAGCAGCAGATGTAGAGCAGCCTCTCGTACACGCGCCGCTTCATGGAGGAGTCAAACACCTCAAAGAACTTGGCTCTGATCAGCGGCTGACTGCACCGAAGTCCCGAGAGGAAGGCCGGCTCCAACTTGGACGTGATGTCACTTCCTGAAAGGCTCTCGTCCCTGAATCATGCGACGGGCAAAACGTTTGTGTGATGGAGCTTACGTGCCGGCTTTTACCCATTTGACAATAATCACTGTGACACTAAGGGCTCAGTGGCATTCCTTGAGAATAGCAGTGACGTATGCCAATATTGGCATATGCCACTGCAACAACACTCACTCGTTAAGTGCATTTGTATATTTATTATGTCACTAAATATCATCCGAACAGTACCACCCTGGACAGGTCGCCAGATGATCACAGGGCCGACACATAGACACAGACAACCAATCACACACCTACAGAATGTGGAAGCCCGAGAACCCAAAAACACAAGCTAAGAAAAACTGCATTTTTAAAATAATACAAAGAATATTATAAAAGTTATATTTACAGCTCTTTTATACATTTCTGTGTAACTGTGACATAATTGTGTATACTACTAATTAGCACAAAACGTCATCTCGGAGCAACATTCTAACGCAAGGCGCCCGCGTGTTCAAACAGCCGTGTAGTGCAACACTGACAACCACGGAAGTGCGGGGAGATGGCAGTTAACACTGAATATTCTGTGAAATTAAGTATCTTTAATGTGGTTACTCCACAGTTACTAAAGCACCAACCGTCATGTATTTAACACTTAAATAACAAATGTCATCATTGCGACATCATCCTGCTGCTCTAAACGGGCCTCATGGGTATGATTCACATAGCAGAAGGAGAGAGGGAGGCTGGGATAAAAACAACAAAAGGCAAGGCTGCCACAGCTGCATATTGCCCCTATTTGCGCCATTCTCTTAATCACACATTGTACTGGCACAGCTGCTTTATCATTCCATTATCATTACTCGCTGTCCATCACGGCTTTACGGCTCGTTTTAAACCTTTTGACATGAAGAGCAGATGGGCTGGAGGAATACGATGTACATTTGGCTGATTAAATGTGTACATGTGCGAGACGGAAAGACAAAAGGGCCGGAGTTTGATGAATAGCCGGCAGTAGGACCATGAATGGTACACCACACATGCTTCAAACCCCCGTCCTCCTCATCTTGACCCAACCTCCCGCGTCTTTCCCCTCCGCGACCTTCATTCCTCCTTTTTAAGATGGATGCAAGGGCGGTGTGGCGTCAGCGGTACGGCCATTTGGCCATGTGATGAATGGCGGTAATTACCTGTAGACGTAATTAACGAGGTCCAGGAACTGGGCGTTTAACTCAAGTTCGTCGGGGAAGCGCTTCTCTATGTAGGTCATCATCTTCACCAGCAGGATGGACTTCTCGCGTAGGTTGGGCATCTGGAGGGAGGTGGAAGAAGAGGGATGTCGGTCAGAAAGGAGCGATAGCGGCGATGAAAATCAACGAGAGAGAGAGAGAGAGATATTCAGATTCTTTCTTGTAACTGCATCTCTCTGTCCAGCTCAGCTTTTTACTGCTTGCTGTCCTTCTACAGAGTAAAATAAAATAAAGACCAAAGACACCTCTGTGGGTGTAATGCTAATGTTAACCTCACTGGATTTCACACCTTTTTAAAAATATACATTGCTGATTCAGCGCTGATTCCCACCTGCTACTACCAAAGAAACAATGCGATGATCTGCTAAATCACGCATTTTGTTTGCACACATTATATTTGCGTAACTTACTATTGTTTCAGAGTAAGCCTCCTTCTTACCTGATTCGCAGCCATTGGAGAATTGTTCTTCACCCACTCTTCAACAATTTTGACGACAGCACGGAGGATTTTGGGGTCGGGTGACTTCTCAATCAGCGACGTGAGGATGACCTGGATGAAGTTCTTCCTCATTTCCATGCTCATGACGGACAGGCGAGTCTTCACCAGGTCAAGACTCAGCATCACCAGCTCGCTGGTCACTAGAGGAACAGAGGGGTTAACGGTCAGAAGCAGGACTGAGGATTTAAGCTATACTAATATCGATGGAAAGTATTTGTTGACAGTTGTGGATAAAGTATTATCCACAGTATATAAAAGACACCAGCTGAATTTAGTGTGTCTTCAATATCAGCTAGGTAAGCAACCAAAATATTGGTCATGTGAGTCCTGCACTTCTATATTTTTAGCGGTGATAGCAGCCAAAAATACAACTCAACAGTCGGGTTGGAACTACTTTACAAGGAAGTTCATTAGATTAGAGAGACATGAGGTTAGTTAGTGACTAGAACTGTGCCTAGTAGAGGGTAGATGTCTGTGTTTCCCGATATAGTCATTAGGGAGCAATTTAGAGCCCGGATAGCATCTTAAAGCCATTACCTCCTTCTGAGAAGAAGCAACAGGAATCATGTAGTGCCCGACTTCTATAAATCCGGTGAAGCCAAGCTCAGAGAAGACAGGAACCTTGATGAATTTTGTAATAGTCATGAGGAAGCTAAACAACCTAAAGCACTTAAACAACACTTGTCTTCTCTTTACCCTTGCTGCCTGCGGTATGAGGCAGGTTGTCAAGCGGTTCTATATCAAACACTGTCTACCCTTTCAAACCCATAACAAAACATCACTAGGTTACCATCCGTTTGTTTTATCTGGAGAGACGATACAGAGATGAGAAACATTCTCTGTGAAAGCAGACTATCTGTAGAGCGGGTCTCACCTGACTACGAAAGCTATTGAGAACACAGCTGGGCTCATTGATATAGAACTTTTGATCCGGCCTTTGTAAGGAGCCGGGCTCTGCTGAGATACCTGAGCTCTAACGGAGTCTGAGGAAAGTCAACAAACGAGTGTGCATCTGCGATGTGTACAAGTGACCACACGCACAGCCCTTGTTGGATCGGAGTTGGGGATAAGTATGCACACTAGCCTTCCTGATCATGTCAGCCAGCTGTAGCTGCAGCACTGTAATATTAGTTCAATTGAAGTCTGGCTTCCTCGTATTCTTTCCACTGAATTCATGTCCATGTACCCGTGCTGGTTTCCGTGACCCCTGGGTTGGCCTGCTGGGGGCTCAGGTGTTCGCGCACCATCTTCTGCAGCGAGCGCATGAACACCGAGATGAGGCGGTCGATGTAGCTGGCGTTGTAACTGCAGGCTGACTTCAGGATCATCAGTGTTCCTGGGAGACAAATGAAGGGGAAGAGAGAGAGAGAGAGTGAGAAACACAACAACATGACAAGAACCCTAACCTCTGTGGGGCAAAGTGACAGACACACACCTGCAGTCAGCCTGTGTTCATATACACAGCACGACAAAGACTTTATTTCTTCTTTAAAGGGAATCTAACTTAAGTTTATCACAGAAGGACAAGTAAAAGAAATGTCCTTCTCTGTTGCTTCTCCCTAGAGGGGAGACAAATGTTAAAATGTAACCCCCCCCCCTCCCAATCACATCAGCGCTTCCTCTCTTTGACAGCAGGACACCAAATGCTTTTTATTGACCACAACGGCCATTTTGGGAAACCATACAGAATAGCATTACCCGTAGTCTGTTCTCCAAAAGTCATCTGTCACCTTAAGGGCCCTTTATTCAGAAAGCTATTGCATAGTTCAAATAAAAGAAAAAGACCATCTAATAACTGTCTCTTTGGAATAAGCTTCAATGTAAGTTTTTGATATAAATACTCTCGGACATCTGGTTAAATAGCAGTAATGTTCATACGGGGAGGGAGGCCGAAAGCAGCAATTCTTCCAGAAACAACCTTTCCCAAACCGCTGGACTGTGGCCTCCGTTTAAACAGACCAGATGTTAGCCCGAGCGGCGGGGCTCGTCGGCTTGCATTTTAACGACCCACTCACCAGCTTAATTGCGAAAAAGTGACTACAGTGGCTTGGTTTTTGTAAGGCTGGAGAGGGAGTGTGAAAAATTGTAAAAAACCAAACCAAACCCCCCCCACACACGCACACACACCCGCAGGGTTTATGAGCGACAACGTGAGAGTAAAGGGATGATGGAGAAGAAGGAAAAAAAGGGAGCGGTGAGGGAGGTCTTACCGAAGAGCTGTGTGGGGTTAGTGTTGCTCGTGGCTTTTTCGTAGTTGGTAAGTCCCTCATAGATGACCTTGCCCACAGCAGCATACAGACACTCCAACTCCTCATACTTCGATGCCACCGTTGATGTGCCTAGAGGGAGAGAAGCAGTGTTTACGTCAAACAAAGAGAAGTATCCAAATCAATGCCTTGCTTTCAGCACAAGGCGTGATAAAAGCGCATTTAGGAATTTAAGCATCAATCAACAGAGCAACGGTCCAAATATTTTAGTTAACAATTTCCTCAGACATGCAGTGCTTTCCTGAGTGTATGAGTGCAAGCTGGCCTGTTACAATTTAGGCATTAAACGCCAGCGACTTACTAGGCTCGGTGGGGAAGATGCTCATGAGGCGAGAAAGGAGGGAGTGGACGGCCCGCAGGACTTTGGTGTTGCCGCAGGTCATGCATGCGGCGATGCCCCGCTGGAGGGGCTTAAAATGGGCCAGGATGGCCGGGGACTGCAGCACCGTCAGCAGGAAGCAGAGGATCTCCAGCCCGGTGCAGATGTTGGAGATGTTAGCCTGGGCTGGCTGCTCCTGAGAGGACATGGAGAATAGTGGAAGCAGGTCAGTGGAGGAAAAGAAGTGTGTGGATAAGATGGTCAACGGTGGACAGACTATACGATGGCAGTTACTACCAGTCAAGTGATCTGATTAACTGATCTCACCATGCCCCGCATTGCAACAAATACGACTCTAGTCCATAGATAATTATCCATTATGTCTATGTGCGTCTCTCTCTTCACCTTTTTTTGGAGAATAATTTCCTATATTGTCGCTTTTCTTAGAGCAATATCATCTGTAGGGGAATTTTAATAACACCCAACCCTACCCTATTATGCCTCTTAATAAATGTGACCTCCATATCAAGGAAAATATTAAGGCTTATCTTTTCAGACCCAAGTCTACAACTCTAAAACAAAGCAAGAAAAAAACTATTCTGCAAATTCATCCCTAGATGCATTAATCATCCAAGTTTTTATTACACAGACAGACGACTCGGGAATCAATATTCTACACACAGAGGTATTTCTCACACAAAAGAACCGAGGCAGCGTGATTGCCGCTAAACCAAAGATCAATGGCCAACATTGGGTCCTAATTTTGTCTAAATTGCAATCAAGGTTCGGAGCGATTGCAGGGCCAAGAGGATAATCTGGGACAGATCCATAGCACTAATCTTGGCTAATGAACAAGGTGACTTTTGCGATAAAGCTCCTGGTAGATATTAGGGTGGTATTGATTCGGCACCGTATTAACAGAACGGGACCGTGTCTCTGAAGCCATGCAGATTCGGGCATGTATGTGCTTCGGCGTGCGATCGTGTGCATGTTTTGAGCGCGTGTCACCCGGCACTCTCACGCCACTCCTCCCCGGCTCTTAATCACTGCCACGCCAGTACAGTGAGATGATAAAAGGTAATCCGATTTAGAGCATTGTTCATTAGTCGGAGTAAGACGGCTAGGCAGGTAGAGCTTGCTCCCAAGGGGGAAAGGGCCCGTGTATGTGCATCTGCATAAGACCTACAGAAAGCCTTGTTTGTCAGACCATCCCCGTGGGATCTGGAGGGGCTGATTGTGTGAGTGTGTGTGTGTGTGTGTGTGTGTGTGTGTGTACTAGGCGGAGAGAGAAAGGTGCGACCGATGCAGTGATCCCCAAAAGGGAACAAGGGAAGTATGTGACAATTGCCGGCGCGCGGCGATAACCTTGTCTGAACAGCGGTGCTGAATCAGACCAGAGAGATGAGTAGAGGAGAGGAGTGACGGATAAAAATAGAGAGCAGGAAGGGAGGCCGCGATAAGAGGCTGAAGAGAAAAAGAAGAGATGAGAGAGGAGAGGAGGAAGTGGGGGGGGCAAGAGACAGAGGGAGCGGCGAGGAGAGGAGCACAGAGGCACACAGGCAGCAAGGATGAGGAGTTTAGGATGGAGAGGGGAGCGGGGGGGTTGAACGAGAAGGCACAGGGCAACCCGGATAGACTCTTGTTATCTCACCACTGTCATTATTTTGTCATTATGGCGGTCGGCGCCTCACTTCATGTATTACTGATAACAGACAAAGGACTCGGAGGCGTTAGAGCAAACACTAAGACAGAGCTTAAGCGGAGACGGAGTAACTTCTGCGGTCTCTGGAAAAAGCGAACAGCAGAGGCGCATTAGTTACCCTTTCCTGTTTGTTGATTATTGCTTTGAGCTGTAACAACGAGCCGGAATATTTTAAATTTTATTCAGACTTTGTTTGAATAAAAAACACTGTTGATGACATGCACTTGCGACTTCAAATAATCTGTGACACACTCACGTAAACAAATACATTTGTTTGTTACTAATACGAAGAACAGCACGGTCCCCATCACAAAATAGAAAAGATAAGGCCATTACAGGTCTGGACGCAGTGATTGACGAGTGATCTCTGGGAAATGCAGTGGAGACGCAGCAGTAACGACGGCGTAGAACCAATTATGTCACCAACACAAGCGTGAATGCGAAACATAAAGGCAGCCCTCAGTCTCAAGGCGTACGGCATATCTTACCACGGTCATGAGCAGCTTGTCAAACCACTGCAGCTTGAGCTCGGCGCGAGGCCACATGTCAGGCCTGAGGGCAGACTTCATGAGGCTAACGCAGCGACGGGAGAGCAGCTCCCCCGGAGACCCCGCCACGTTGGTGCTGTCGTTCACCTAGACGGGAGAGAAGGGGGAGGAAGGTTGGTATCATTATCAATGACAACGGGTCTTCATCTTCAATTTCTCGACGAGGGGAGAAATCACACAGGGCAAGAAGAGACAAGGACTGTCACCATATATTGTAATTTCATTCGTGCAGCTAGAGTTCAACAGTGGCACAGTCAGGAAGGTGACAATCCTTCAGTCAGGCAGCGCTGCAGAAGCCCTCATATGTTGACATGCGGGAGCATCCTTTAGCAAGACAATGAAACCCTATCAGCTCTGTGTGCGTCGTTCTTTGGTTGATGGTAATCTCCGGGGGCCGGTGAACAGATACACATTTTCTACAGGGATCAATTTGGTGTCACAATACACCGTTATCGAGTAGAATACAAAAAAAAGATGTTTCTTTAGACTCTTCAGTGAACAGTGAGTGATCCCCAGCGGTTATGTTCAATGGAGATGGTTGGATGAACAGTGAGAATGGAGAAGTGGGAGAAGTCAAGGTGAGCGAAATCCCAACACACTATTTCAAGCTTGTAACCAAGGTCATCACTGCCACTGGACCAAGGGACTGTGTGAGCGAACTCAGAGTGTGTGTGTGTGTATGCAGAGATGTGTTCAGGGCAGCCACCAGGTGTGCTTCACGTTCACCACGGGCGGGTTAGGACAGCTGTATCCTACCTGGCAGAACTGTACCGTGTGTGAGTGTGTGTCAGTTTGAGAAAGAGAGAGAGAAAGATGGTGTGTGTGTGTGTGTGTGTGTGCGTGCATCATGGCGGGGTGTTACCTGGCATGCTATCCTGATGAGGAAGTTGACCACGGTGTCCGTATGTTGTTTCTCGACAGGCTTGGTGAGCATGGTCTCTGTTCCTGGCATGGACTGGCTGCGGCCAAACACCTAAAATAAAAATTTTAAAAACGTACAAACATTGTAAATATTACTATTTCACATCGGTTTGCATGCTGCGGTTGCATTTTTCTCCCGACACCCGGTCAAAGAAGCCGGGAATTACACTCAGTCATTATGACTGCAACTACTAAGACTTGTGCCGGTGTTTACAGAAAGGACAACAGCTTTTTGTAGTATTTTCTTTAGATCCTGTGTACGACTGTGATTTAACACATTGAAGTTTCTTTAGATATCTATAGGTACCTTTTCCAAATATTTATCAGTTACTTTATCCAAATCCACATGAACCACTACTCTTCACATTAGTTAGATCCACAGCACAGCATGTAAGATGACTGGTGCATTAACTGCATGCAGAATTATTCAGAGCACACAATGTCAAATGCCTCCTAAGTTCCCATATGAACTGGCATATGGTCTGTCGCTGACAAACAACGTAGCATTTAAAAGGATTTTTTTAACTAGTCCGGCGAAGTGCTCACTCCACATAAAACGCACCAGGGCTCATCACGCGTGTGTGGAGAGGCTACGCCCCGCGCTCGGTGAAACACGGTAGAAGAGAATAGAATATTAATGATCTTGTGAAACTTTTGCAGCAGAAATAATAAGCAGAAGAAAATGTCCTGGCTATAAAGTGACTTGTCCCTCACACCCACATACTTCTGAGCTCACCGTGGAGGCCGCTCCGGTCGCCGTGCGGAACCTCTTGACGTCTTGCCCGGCGGCAGCGGATGCAGTGGCGGCAGATTCCAGAGACAGTCCTCTTTTCACAGCACCGCCGCTCGTCCCTTCACCGCCAGCAACTACTTCAGCCTCGGACTCCGGCTGCCGACCCCAATAAGCGACAGGGAGGGAGGAGGAGTCCACCAGTTAACACAGTTGCAGTTTACAGAATGACAGCGTCTTTGACTTCTGGATTCCTGTTGTGATTGTACATGTATGGCAGTCCATGAACACACCTGCTGGTCTTTGATCCTCTGTAGCTCCCATTTGATGACCACCTCGGCCAGGTCCACAGCCAGTTTCCTTTGCTCTATGGTGACGCTGGGGGTGAAGCCCAGACGCTGCATTGCACTGATCATGTGCTGCACCAGGTGGTGGCGCACAGGGTAGTACACCTGGAGAGAGACAGCAGCAAGTACAAACGTAAGAAATAACATGTAAAATCAATCTAGTAATATAATATAGAGTGAAGTACAACAACTTGAATATCTGGTTTGCGAAAGCTTCCGTATTTGGTATTCTAAACCCAAAGTGTGAGGTAGAACTGGGCCGCATTTGCTTTTCCTGAAGCACCGACTGCAGATGGTCACTGATGCCAATGGCAGAGTTAGTATATGTGAGCAAATGAACAGACGACAGAGCAGTACTTAAAGAAACCAAACTTCAAAATAAAATAAAATGCCGATGTAGCTCGGGGCCTGTTGTTTTTTGCATTCTTTACTTCACCCCCCCCCCCCCCCCCCACACACACACACACCAAGATTATGAGCTTAAAAACCTCTTTTGCACGAGTGGAAAAACCCCACTTTGTGAGCCCATCAAAATAAATTCCTCACACGAAAACGCTCCTCCTTCCTGCCTGCATGCCTACCAGAGGGTGAACCCAAACACATAGACTGAAAGACGCTGCATAACTTTCAGTGAGATAAAAAAAAAAAGTAATGTGAACTATAGAATTATGATATTACACATGTAGGTTTTGCAAAATAATTGATATTGCTTTTGACATTCTAGTCTATTACTGGTTTGGCAACCTTGTTCCCAGAGCATCCACGACAAATGAGGGGAACCGTTGCTTCCCTCAGCTTCATTTTTAATGGACTTCCTTGTCAGTATCTTCAGATATAAATTAGACTTGGCTTCAATTGCCTTAGCAGCCACCCAAAAGCAATTATGAGAGCGGGTTATTGTGCGATTCCTTCCCTAAAACCAAAGTTAAAGTTTCTAAAGAAGACAGTTTGTCTAAATGCTTAAAATCAGAGGTCTCCACTCTCCGGGCAATTGAGAGTCCTGTGAACCGAAAACGATACCGCCTCGCGTCCGCTTCGTCTTACAGAAAGAGATCCAGTCAGTCTGCCCATGGAGCCTCATTTGCACGAATGATAACGGAAAATTTTTCTTACACTGCCAATACTTTGCTCTAGATTTTGGAATGATAACACATGCAAAGTTTAAGAGGGTGTTCAATCACTTTGAGACAGAGTCAGAAGGGGGCAAACTCTGAAGTCGTATTCCCACTTAGTCTCAAGGACGTGATGACACACACTTAGCCACGAGAACCCGCGCTCTCAAGCGTCGCACTCAAGAGTCACTTAGTTTCATCGCAAAACTGCAACTGGGACGCGCAGAACAAAAGAGCAAGAGATTAGATGTCTATCTGAGGGCTGTTGCCAGTGTCAAAGAATATTAAAGCTTCTCACTTTTGCGGGTAATTATAGTCGATAGAGCAGGACTTCACAGGCCTTTAATGACAGAGTGGCTAAGCCCTGTCCATCACGTGTGCACCCAGACTAACACGCGCACACAGTCTCTGCATTTCTTTATCAAACACACACACACACACACACACACACACACACACACACACACACACACACACACACACACACACACACACACACACACACACACGCGCACAAAGTCTCTCATCTGTCTGTCATTATCTCCTCCCTAGTGTAATTATGCTGATGTGATTACATTAGATTAGTCATCTGGCCCAGTGAGAGCAGCCTGTCAGTGAAATAGAGAGTGGCGCTGAGAAAAATGTCAGTCTCCTGCTCAGAGACTGGCGAGGCGGCGAACATCAGCTGAAGGAGCGAGAGGGCAGAAAGTGTCTTTTTGAAGTTTAAGGAGGAAGACAAGCATAAAGCCCAACGATCCGTTGCTGGTGTTGACTAGACGCTCTCGGACTCTGCTGGTCATCACCGAGAAGCTCGGGACTTTGCATCTGCATTAAGGTGTTTAAAAGGCAGCAGGCGGCTACCATTAGCTCCACTGCCCAGTGACAAATGATCCAGCTTTTGGCTAGGAGGCAACCGACCCAAACACCGGCATCCTGTCTACTGTCAATATGAAACTCACATTTAGTGAAGCAACTAGTATCGTGAAGACTATTTAAAGGGGCAATACGAGATACTCCAACTTTTAATGATGATGCTCCATCATCATTTAAAGTTTTTAATTCAGGGCACTCGGAAAATCAACTAAAATAGCTTCTCAACTGCCCCCCCCCATGTGCTTCACTGGAGCACATTATAGTTATGGGCTGAAGGTGGTGCACTATTGTCAAACTGCAATTTCTGTGTGCGTGCTCTTTATTATATCTGCTCACCCTGAAGTGCTGCACAATGAGATGCAGTATGTGGACCAGCTGCGGCACAGTGTGTCCCTCCTCCACGATGATTTTGCGAGTCCAGTGCGTCAACATCTGGTGGCCGTCCTCCATGCGGGCCGGCACAGCTGGGGTCAGGATGGCCATGGCCTGCCGTACAATGGCCCGGGCCTCCATCGTGTGGGCCTTCAGCAGGCTGTGGAAGACCTGTACAAAGAAAATAAATTGTACCATTTCCTGTACCAGTGATGCTGAACTTCGTTTTTTTTTTTTAAATCACCACTGTATTTCTTTTTTTCCCCCCAATACATTCACATTATAAAGTATGTGGAACATGGGACTGTTGTCAGCTCATGTCAATTGAATCCTGCTGTTTTGTCAGTTTTTACATTTTACAAGATCATTCAGTGAGTTTACACCTGCTACACAAGTTCTATCTCTATTCTCCATCTTAAGCTCTGTGTTAAGCTAAACCCGCGCTCCACTGAGTTTCTCCTCTCATTCTCTCTCACCTGCAGCACAATCTTCTTGTGAATGGCAAACTTTGCAATGATGTGGGCCAGAAGCAAGTGACCACTGTATTTGCAGGCCGGGTCCACGCAGGCTTTGGGCAGGAGGCACGGCCAGGCGAAGGTCATGAGGCGCCGCAGTTTGCTGTTGCGCGACTTGTTGTTGTCATGAATGTGGTGGGGAGCATGCTCCACCAGCAGGGTGGAGAACTGCAGCAGGCAGATTCGCAGCGAGTCCAGCAGGTCGGCCTGCTTCTCCGGGTCCAGTACCTTAGAAGATTGGGAGAGACGTGGGGGGTCAAAGATTATTGAGTGAGGGGGAAATAGGTACAATTTTTACTATTCATAGCGCAACATTAGCACAGTATAGTCAAAAACAAGAGATGTTTTGTGTATAATATAAAAACCCCTTTTTTGTGTGTGCCTGAGAGCTGTTATGTGTGGCTGTAATTCAATAGTAAACAGAGTCTTAGATTACTTAGTGCACTTCAGGTGCATCAATAAGAAAGATAAATACCTTCTATTTAATATATTGTATTGCCTAGGTATACTGCAGTTCAGACGAATCTTCACTTCGCAAAATTACATTTAAATGAGGTCAAACAGACGATATACTTTTTCACATATTGAAAAAACCTCTTGCAAAAACAAAGTCCCCCATTCAAAACAACCATCACCATCTGACTTCCCTGGAGGAGGGGGGGGGGCACAGAGGAGAGAACATTCAGAGAGAGAGAGAGAGAGAGAGAGAGAGAGAGAGAGAGAGAGAGAGAGAGAGAGAGAGAGAGAGAGAGAGAGAGAGAGAGAGAGAGAGAGAGAGAGAGAGAGAGAGGAAATGAGTTTTAAACCAGACCGAAGAGGAGCCATTAGCAGCCATTAGGACTGGTGTTAGTCAGTGATGAGATGTGCCGCAGCGCAAACATGCCGACCTTTAGCATGGTCACATCGTGGCATTTACACCAGGAATTATAGTCTGGCCTGCTGAATGAAAACGTGATGGAAAGAGGGGTCGGCGGGAGGGAGGGAGGGAGAAAAACAAAGACAGATGGAAGAAGAGAAAGATGGAATGACAGCAATTAATGATCAAGTTGTGTGTGGAGGCCACGGGAGAAAGAAGAATCAGACTAAGTAGGACCCAACGGATGATGACTGAGAGTATGGAGATGTACTGGACTGATAAGACATTATGAGAGGAAATGCAGCAGGTAATGAAATCAGGGAGACTGATGGAGAGACAAAGCTGGTGAGTAATGAACAAAAGAAGAAGGGAGGGGGAGAGAGAGAGAGAAGTGAGCAGACTGGACGTGAAGAAAGATGTTGAGAGGAAGGAATCGCTGCACGCGTGTATGTGTTGCGTGTGTACCTTTGTGATGAAGACACTGGTAATGCTTTCAGGATTGTCTCCTTCAGGGTTGGGCGGTCCAAGCAGCTGCTCACCTTCCCCCTTCTCAAAGCTGTGCAGGAAGGCCAGGTTGAGGATGTGCTGCAACACCTAAGAAACAGGACAAAACACACGTTGATATGATTTTACTGAGAGATAATTGTTGTTTTATTTCATTTACTGTTTTATGGCATTTACTTAGGAGAATATGCATTCAACAAAAAGGAGACAATGACCTCGTGTGTTCTTTCAAGATCTGCATAAAAGACACACCGGCACACTCCGAGCTCTCCATGACACGTAATCAAGTGATGAAATAGTCGTCTACTCTTAAATCATATGATAATAACAACAGGGAAATAAAACGTTGATTCTCTCGAAAGTGACAAATAATTTAGGAGCGTAAAGACGGGCTCGAGGCGCAGCAATACCAAATGTGACACAAAACAATGGTAATAAAAGAAAATGTGACATTTCAAGAATTGGAGAAGAAAACACTCTTAACACGTTCTCTTAATTAATCCATACACATTGGACGCAAAAACAAAATGAAGGGCTTAAAATGCAATTTACAAACAAACACCCCCCGAAACCTGCAGGGATTTGTCTGTTAATGAACCCTCCCTGTTCAATCCATCACTTGGGGGGGGACGGGACGGATGGGGGGACGGACGGACAGCGCATCGCTCACCGGAGAACGAGCTGTGGCAGCATATGTTCCAGCTCCTCCGTTAGAACGTTATCCACGCATGCTCTGCACAGTGTGCATGCGTGGTTGATAAGACTTGCACACGCATGCAGAAACATGCACGCAGGCCGCTTAAATGAAGACACAAAGAGAAGGCTTGGAGTCTGTTCTTAAGCCTCATCTGCTCCTATAAATACTAAGCTCCTCGAAACATCAATCACTGTATATTGCCATTAGATGTGTGTTAGTGTACGTGTGCGCGCGCGCGCACACACACACACACACACACACACACACAC